CCCCCGCCCCGCCCCCCATGCAGCCCTGGGGGTCCCCACCTGCTCCCCAAGCATTTCAGGGGGGCCCTACTTGCATCCTTAGGCAGCCCTGGGGGGCCCCAGCTGCCCCTCATACGGGCATGAGGGCTCCCAGCTCTCCTACACAGCCCTGGGGTCCCTATTGGCGCCCCCAGCGCAGGCCTGGTGGGGGAGCTGGAGCCTCGCCGTGGGGCAGCCCCTGGCCCTCGCGGCGATGCCCCGTCCGTGCCCCTTGGCTTGGCCCTGTAAGGCTGGATTGGGGCCCAGACCCGGGGGGCAGAAGCTGGGCGCTGCGACGCCCCGGGGTGCCGCGAGGCGCCTGGAGGGGTGCGAACAGGTTTCAAGCACGCGGAGCCGGCTGGCGCGGGAGACTGCTGTGGTCTTTGGAGGCCGGCAGGAGACAAGGGGATGCTGAGAGCCGGTGCCGTCCCAGGGGGGCACAGGGTCCAGCAGGGGCCGAGCCCCCTTCTGCCTTGACCCCTAGGTTAAGGACAAGGAGGAGCTGGTCAGCGCGAGCCTGGGCCCTGGCACGCCTGTCATTGCGGGCATCTTACATTCGCGTGTCTGGCCCTGGAAGTTGTTACTTGCGGCTGCCCCCCCGAGCTAGTCGGTCTCAGAGGTGCTGCCCTGCCTTGCCTTCTGCAGGCAGCTGGGGAGGGCTGTGAATGGGCAGTGGGGCAGCGTGGCTGCAGTTTTAGGGGGGAGAAGGGGCCCACGGTGTTTAGCTCTTGGAGGAATCCTTCTTGGTGGGGGATTGCCAGTGTCCGTGTGGGGCTGGACGTGGCCGGCTTGCCCGTCCACTCAGTGGCAAGACGATGGAGGTGGAGCGCAACGGCCTTGCGGAGGGATGGCATGCAAAGGGACACGACACTCCGGGCTGAAGAGCTGAACCAGTGGAAAGGGGGTGCAGGATGCGGCGCCCGTGGATCTATGCCGTCTCCGGAGGGGGAGCTCCAGTCTGCATGGGAGGAGAGGAAGGACCGGACTGCAGCATTGTTGCTGTGGGCGAAGTGGGCGGGAGAGCAGGGGTGTAACCCGTGCCTGCTGTGGCGGCCCGTGCCGGGTGGCAGCCCAGTGGCGTGCCCTTCCCTGGTGCATGGCCATGGTGCACGCTGTAGGCCAGACCAGAGGTGTGCACGTCTGCCCCCATCCTGGGCAGGGGAGAGCCGTGTTCCCGCGTGGAGGTGTGGGCTGGAGGGGAGGCACCAGCTCAGACCTTTGTTACGAGTGAGCAAAACTGAAAGGTCAATGTGCTTGTCGCTGGTGGCTTGGGCGCTCCAGAGAAGCTGGGCCTGTTTGGTCACTGGAGCGGCACGGAGACACTTTCCTGCCTCTCGTGCAGTCCCCGCACCATCCTGGCTGCAATGCTGCAGGACATCCGACGTGGGAAGGGCTGACTCGGTGGCCAGAAGCCCGAGCAGTTCGAGTTCTCTTGCCCTGTTTGCACAGCGTGCCGGGTGCTTTCTAGGTGGATTGGGAGACGAGTTCCCCTTCCAGCTGTTTCCGTGCTCCCGGATGGGTGCTGCAGGGCTTGGATGTGGCCCCAGCTACATGTAAAACTTGGGGTCAGGCGAGAGGGGTGGTTCGTGCAAAGTGCTCAGAAAAGTGGCTGCCTTGGGGCTGAACCCTTTAGGAGCCTGGTGGTAGGTGTAAGCAGGCTGAGGCTGCCTTTGTATGGGGTCGCTGAGCATGGCTTTGCTTTTGACTTGGAGGATAAAGCACAGGAGGTGGCAGATCATGCATAAACCCCTCACACGACCTGAGCTCCCATCCAGCGCTCCTTCCCCGGGGGAGGCCGGAGCCCTTCATCACTTTCCTTGCTATAGGGGAGCGTTCTGGGCTGGGCTTTGCTTCTGTGTCAGAGATCCAGTCCTCCCAGGGCCGCTCCCCAGCCGTCGCTTGGCCTGTGTCTACAACCCACCCCCTTGTTGGGGAAGCACTGACTCACTTCCCTTCCTGCCCAAAGCTGCTTTTTTCTCTACCTGCTGCTTTCCCAGGCCTGCTGAAGGGCGCTCTGTGCTTGAAGCCCTGTCTAGCATCTCTCCCAGCTAGACATTGGCTCCAATAAAAGATATCCACAAAAAACCCTTCTCAGATTTGTCCTGAGAGTTCTCCAGCACCTCCTGTCTCCGTGTCTTGCAGCTGGGCTAGGAAGAACGTGGCTTTACTAGTCCCAGCCACTTCCATTTCTCTCCTTGGGCCAAGTCCAGTCAATTGAGTGAAGTGCTCCCACGGTCTCTAGCTCGTCGTGTGAGGGCAGAGGCTTGGTTGGCAAGATGAGTGTGCGTAGACCAGTGATTCTCAACTGGATGCAGCTACAGCCTGGGGGGGCCGCAACATGCTTTCAGGGGTGCCGTGGGGTGCTGTGCTGTGGTTGCACTGGGAGGGGTACGTGCAAATGTGATCCACAGGATAAACCTTGGGGCTTCTAACAGGGATCCAGAGTGCGAACACCGCTCTGCCTGGCTGTTGAGTTCTTTGCAACAGGGGATTGCTCTATGATTTTTCTCTAGTCAAAGAAAGAGGGTAGACAAACAGTTTGGCATTTTCCAAGTGGGGCCTGGGCTCTAACCAGGTGGAGAACTACTGACATAGGCTGTGGGGTCACGTGCAGCTGTTTTGCCAGTCACTGTTACAAAACTACGTTCTAGGCACGGGATGGGGGCTGGACTGGGCCAATGATCCTGCTGGCACCAACCCCGCAGGGTCCCGGCTGGGGGGTCTTGCCCCCGTGCTCAGGTTCAGCCCCACGCTGCACTGGGGCAGGAAGGGATTTCCCCCCTGCTCAGACTGGTGTGGACTGGGGGGGTTTTGCCTTCCTCTGCAGCAGGGGCACAGCCTTGGCCTGGGCTCTCTGCAGTGCCCATGAACCCCCTTGGCAGCAGCAGGATGTTGGTCATCGCAGCCCCGCTGTATCCGGGGGCGGGGGCAGAGGTGGGGCAATGCCTGGGCTGTGTCAGGGTGACTAGTTTTGCTTTGAGGTCAGACACAGGGTTTGTCTGGGCTGCTTTGGACAGGCCTGATCCTGCCCCAGGCAGGGCTGGGACTGGATGTGACCCTGCAGCTCCCTGCTAGCCCCATGGCTCTAGGATTCTGCGCTTTACCAGCTCGCTGAGCGCATGTGCTATGGGGTCCTGGTGAAGGGATAAACGCAATGCCCATCCTACCAGCCTCAGGCATGCCATTGTGCAGAGAACAGAACAACCATCCACGGTGCGGGGGTGTGGGGCGGTCATCCATCTCAGAGCTATTAGCATGGCTGAGTCTAGTCCCTAGTGGTGCTGGACTCAGAGACATTACCTTTTAAATCAAGATGATCCCCTAGCACATCCCAGGCTTTCAGGGCGCCAGCGCTACTGAACAGGAAAGCTGAAAGACGAACCCTGGACCTCGGACTTGCAGATCGAGTGCGAGCTTGATTCCAGCGTCATGCCTTTCCCAGCCCTGAAAACCCTGCTGTATCAAGAGGCAAATGTTTGAGGATGCCACGTTGGCTTGATGGACCACACAATGGCACTGGCTGGCCTGGACCGGGGAAGCCCTTCCCAAGGGCTGGGCACAACAATCAGGTACAGCATCCGTCTCGGCTGCATTGCCAGTCAAAGAATAGATGTTACACAGCAAACCTTGGGCTCTGCACAGGGAGGCGTGGGCCAGAGCGCGATCCTCTGCCAATACGAGCACGCCCAGCTATGTAAGCACTCGTTCGGAGCCATGGGGCGTGCTCTGACTGGCCTCTTGCTCACCATTGCTCTTGGTGTTGCCCTGCCTGGGTCTGTGTTGTTAGAGGCCGTCACCTGCAAGCAGCATTCTGGAGCTGGCATGCCATGCCATGCCAAAGGAACAGCTCAATCCACATTGGGTGGCAAAATCTCAGAGCGGTCACTTGTTGCTTGGGCAGTGTCCGGCTGGTCTGCTGTCTGCCTCGGACCGATGGGGAGATCCCTGCTTGCCTGAACGGACCAATGCTGCTCTGACTTCAGCTGAAGAGAGAAACGCGAGTCTGTGGCCGGTGCGTCACCTTCCCTGGACACCCCATTGCTGACCTTGGGCAGCTGTTCTCAGGCCAAAAAACATTTAAAGATTAGTTTGACTGGGCATCAGGGAGCAAGAGACCCTCCAAGAATGGGCTGCATTAAGTCTGGCTTCAGCAGGAGCTAGGGAGCCCCATCTCTGCCTGAATTGGCTTTTGTGACCCCCTTTGCTCCCATAGACTTAATGCTTGCTTTTCTCTCCTTGCATGGCCCCTTCTCTCTCCCTTGTCCTTTCTATTCTAACCTCTCTCTTCGTCCCCTCTGCTTTGTGCACGGACGTCCTTTCGCAGCATCTGATGAAAT